AATCAAAGATGGATGGCACACCCTCATGGGATGATCCGATCTTCTCGGATTTTGGAGCACGCGGCGGGACCACTGGAGCTCACAGCATCCAAGTGATGTTGAGTCTGCATGGAGGTGGAGGCCATCACGGGAGCGGTGATTTGATGCCGACTGGTAGCGGTCAGCTTCACAAGCTGGATTCGTCCAACAGTCCATCACCGCATCATCAGGCTGCGTCGCAGCATCAGCATCATCTACAACAGCAACAACAGCAACAACAAAAGGAACTCAAGGAACTTGAGTTGTCTAGTATGTATGCACCTCTGCCGTCGCAGACCCAAGACGTCACCACTTCGACATCTACCAGCGTTACACCGACCTCGACAAGTCTTCAGCAGGGTTTGCAACTCGGCAACGCACTCAAGAGAAAGCCGGACGATCCGATTAATGCTCTCGCTCCAGGTAACGCACGATTTTCTGATGGAATCTTTTTTCCTATTTCTTCTTTTCAATTATAAAATATCTTCCTTGTAAAAAAATCTTCTTTGTGACACACTGACTGTTTCTTTTTTCCTATCGCTTCATTTCGCATTTAAGTTTTTACAGAAATTGTTATATCTTCCTGAATTTAAACTTTTCAAATTTTACGACGAAAAAATATTAACTTTTGCAGTCAGCAACGAAGTGCAGTCAGCCAAGAAGGACTCGAAGAAGAAGACTGATAACAATAATATCAAGAAGAAGAAGACAAGGTGCGCAATGAAATTATTTAAATGTCTTTTTAAATTGACTTTATAAATTTATGTATATTAAAATGTCAATTCTTATATTATCCAATTAAATTTCTCTCTCTTTTTCTTTATGCACGGAGAGAATTGTTTTGTTGACAAATCTAAAAATTTGATCAGATACAGATTAGAAAATAATTTTATTAGATCTTTAAAGTTATTATGTACGACGTTCATATTAATTAGAAAAGATCACAAAATTTTGTAGTAATTTATTATGCTTAAACATTCTAAATAATAATTTTGAAAGTCCAACAAAGTTATTTCCAGATTTCTGGTCTTCTGGTCAAATTTTTAGATTTGCCAGCAAAACTATTTCTCTCCGTGTGTATATATTTATAATTTATTTAATTATAAAATTAATCTAAAACTCTTCGGTTTATAAAATTATTCATTATCATTTGATTTCCGTTAGAACAACTTTTACGGCTTATCAGTTAGAAGAATTAGAACGAGCTTTCGAGCGAGCGCCTTATCCGGATGTCTTCGCACGCGACGAACTCGCATTGAAGCTCGCCCTGTCAGAGACTCGCGTGCAAGTGTGGTTCCAGAATCGTCGTGCCAAATGGCGGAAGAAAGAACCACCGCGCAAGACCGCTGGTTATATGGCCGCAGGTTCTGCCAGCCCCGGTCTGTCAGGTGAAATTATATTTTTATACAAGTTTTATAAAAATTGTGCTTTTATGATATTTTTATGATTATTACACATTATTTTTAAAGATGAGAAACAAAGTGGTTTGTTTAATCAAAAAATGTAAGATTTTTTTCTTTAAGAGAAATTAATATGGTAATTGACAAAATTAAAACTGCATGCACGAAATAACAGAGAAAAATTTAAATTTGAAATATCCTAAAATTTTATATACTACTTATATACTACTACTACTACTACTTATTTTGTACATTATATCACATTACTTTTCTACATGGCATATAGTATATTATTTTATACATATTTATATTCTATTACTCAAGTGTGTGCTTTACATACATAAATAATGCGTATGCAATATAAATTATTAATTGTATAAGACGTTAAAATTATAATTGCTAGAATATAAAAATATTGTGCAATATTTTCATTATATTTAAATATCCTACATAATAATTTTGATGGCTCAACAAAATTAATCTTCAGATCTGTATCAGATCTCTGTCTGAATTTATACATCCTACACAACAAAGTTTTCTTGTTCTCTCGTATGCAAATTAAAGCACTTCAGATTTCGCTTTTGCTTTGACAAGTGAAAAATTTTTTGAAAAGCCAAAGTAATGTCGACGCAACCGACGCTTGAGCTAGATTAAACTCTAGTTTATAGTCGATTCTAAATTGTTTTTATTTTTAGAAGATATTTTTCTGAAAGTCCCTGTGTGTTCTCCAGGCTCCTTCACGTCGCTCAACAACACTTTAAACCCGTTCGCGTCGCCGACGACGGCGACGGCACCGCCGGATGCCTGGGCGTACTCGCCGGCGGCATACGACCTGGCCCCTCATCTGAATCTGCTGAGCCCATCCAATTCGCCGTACTCAACCGCAGCGGCGGCGGCCGCGGGTTTCGGCAATAACGGTAGCGTCTCATATTCCTCGTACGCGAGCATGCTGCCGACGCAGCACGACGCCACGTTGTTTACCACGCCGGCCACCGCCGGCAACACCATGCGAATGCACCAAGACTACATGAACCCCGGCGGTGGTAGCAGCCCGCCGCAACCTGGCGGGCCGCTCACCCGCGCCGATTATCAGACCATGGTGACGACGCACTCGCCACCCACCCACCTGGGTAACTCCATGTCCGAGGACGAGCACGGTGGTTGCCTCACGGACAAGTACGCGCACGAGCAGACGGCCACGGCCGATTACGGCCAGCAGCAGCCACCGCCGCCGCCGCCGTCGTCGAACGATCAGAAGCAGGACTACGGCATGCACTCGCCGCAGGCACGCCAGGCCATGAAGGACCAGGTCATGGTCAAGAGCGAGCCCAGCAGCCAGCCAAGCTACGTGCAGCTGCCTCCTTTTTTGAACTGACTCGCGGCCTCCTCCACTCTAGATCTCTTCTAGGCGACTTTTGCGATTTGTCCGCCTCCCGTGACGAGCGCGAGGAGTATTAGGTCCTGGATTTAGGTCGCGTAGTTTCAACTAGACTTCGCATCCGGTGCTATTTAAGCTGTAGCTCTCGACGGCGAGCAAGCGTTGTTCGATCATTAAATTGAAGGTTGACATTGAAGTAGGGGGTTTAGGGAGAGGAGCTATTTATAAATCGTGAATGTCGATGAGATCCCGATATGGATTTGAGTGATAGTAAATCTTAGGATCTCGAGCTCGAATATTTGCATTGTGACAGTCGCAACATTTCTTGTACTTGTTGCTTGAGTGATCAGTAGGTAATGCGATCATACAAGGGTGACTTTGATCAAATTCTGATCAACCTTCCAGTAAGCAAACTGTTCGCGGTATGGCTATTAATAGATTGATAACGGATTTACTAAGAATATTCAATATTATTTACATCAAGTTCGTATTTTTTGGCAGAATTAATAAGTCTTGACAATAAATCGAGGATAAAAAAAATATCAGACGCAAATCCCATTCTATTTTTCTATTATCGAACATATGCCAATTTCTACTTTTATCATCCATCTACCATATTTTATTAACATACTTTGCTTTATTTTTGCCAATTATATTTGCCAATAATATTCTATAAATATCACTGTATCAAATTTTATATAAAGTCTGTAATCTTTCTACCCTTAAAAATTTGTAGCAGGCATTTTTTGTAAAATCTATTCTGAGCGTATGTAACAAATTACTTGGCAACTAATTTAATAAGTAATATTGTAATATTTTTTTAACATGAACGAAATTATTACTTTTTTATTGTTTGAAAGAAAAATTAAAGATTATAGGAACAATAAGTTATAGATAATTGAAAATTTTGTTATTAACAATTCCGGTTAGATTAATCATTAATTGATTAAATTGATCAAAGTTAGATCGAAGTCGTCTCAAGTCAAATGAGCATCTATAATGAACGAGAATCGAGAGAGAGAGAGAGAGAGAGAGAGAGAGAGG